ATATTTAGCAATAAAACATCTAAACCTCAAAACAACTATACTGAAATAACCCACATAAAAGATTGTATGGTTTCATAATACTATTTTATATAGGAATCCAGAATATGAACATCATCTGTGGCTTCAGGAAGCAAATCAGTGGTTGATAGATGGGATAGGCAACAAGGAAGGATGGACAATAAATGGGTGTGGGGAAACTTAGGGGCAATTTATATGATTAATATAAATGATTGTAGTGATGGCTTCTTGGGGAAAAATCACATACCCAAATTTAACAAACTGTATATTTGAAGTATTTGAAGTTGCTGGATGTCAATTTCACTTCAAAAAGCCATAAAAGCTTCTTCACCCAATGAAAGCAGCCTGTTCGTTCTACACAAATATTTCCTCAAAGATTGACAGCTGTGTTTTTTTTCTTGCCACAAAGTGAAGGTTCACAGTGTGGTGGCTCCAGTCTTCTTGAAAAGCAAAAACTATCAGGGAGTATGTGATATTATTTTTTGAAAAACACATCTTGTGGGTAATAAAGAAGGGCCTTGTCTAAGCAGCTGAGAATGAGAGCATCTCCCCAGCATTGATGTTTTAACCATATGAATACTGCAGGTGTGATGGTACACATGAGCAATGTCAACATTTGTGTAGAGGAGACAGGAGAGTCAGGAGTTCAAGCCCATACTCTGCCTCAAACAAAACAAAACAAAAACAAAAACAAAACAAAAAACCCACAAATGTAAAAATACATATGAATTTTAGTTTATGATCTGGGAAAAGTCCATTTGAAGATGCATATACATACATACATACATACATACATACATACATACATACATATATTAGATTGTGATCTACTGTAGAACTAATGTTTTGTTCTATTAAATCGGAGACTGTATAAATAGATTTCATTTTTGTCATTTCTTTATGACATTTTGTCATTTCAGTAATGTTTAGAGATAAGAATTAGGTAGACCTTAAATGCTCTTCCATGATAATGAGATTGATGACTAACTTATGTGCCATCATAGAACCCTCATCTAGTAGCTGATGGAGACAGAAGCAGACACCCACAGCTAAACACTGGAATCCAGATGCAGAGAGGGAGGAATGATAAGAAAATGGGGTCAAGACCAGGCTACAGAAACCCACAGAGATAGCTGACCTGAACAAGGGGGAGCTCATGGACCCCCCCAGACTGATAACTGGGAAACCAGCATTGTACTGACTCAGACCCCCTGAACATGGGTCTCAGTTAGAAGGCTTGAGCAGTCTAAGGGACCTCTGACAGTGGAACCAGGATGTATCCCTGGTTCATGAAAGGACTTTGGGAGCACATTCCCCATGGAGGGATAACTGCCTTAATCTAGAGGCAGGAGGGAGGGCCTAGTCCCTACTCCAAATAACTTGACAGATTTTGTTGATCCCTCCTGGAAGGCATCACCCTCCCTGTGGAGTGTTGGGGGGGGAGGGAATGGGATAGGAGGGGGGTAAAGAGGGAGGGAGGGGGAAGGAACTAGGATTGATATGTAAAATATTAAAAAAAAAAGAAGAAGAAGAAGAATTAGGTAGGCCCAATTTTAAAAGTTACAAGACAAGCCAGGTCAAATATAACTAACTCAAATTAGAATATGAAATAAAACCTGAAACTTTTTTTAATTTATTATTTTACATGTTGATCCAAGTTCCCTCTCCCTTCCTCCCTTCCCCCTCCCTTTCTCCCTTCCCCCTCCCTCCCTCCCTCACTTTTACCCTCTCTGCCCTCTCTCACATGCACCCTGACTACCCTCCCTTCCATCCCCCCACCCCAATTCCACATGTAGTAGGGCAATGCCATCCAGTTGGGGTCATGTAGATCTGACAGGTCATTTGAAGTAAGGACTAGGGCTTCTCTCCTGTCTCTAGGTTCAGGCAGTTATCCCTCCATGGGGGATGTGTTCACAAGGTTCTTTTGTGCACCAGGGATACATCCTGGCTCCACTGTCTGAGGTCCCTTAGACTGATCAGTCCTTCTGGCTGAGACCCATATTCAGGGGGGCCTGAGTCAGTCCCATGCTGGATTCCCAGCTATCAGTCTGGGGGTCCGTTAGCTCCTCCTTGTTCAGGTCAGCTGTCTCTATGTGTTTCTGCAGCCTGGTCTTGTCCTCTCCATCTGCATCTGGGTTCTAGTTTGACTCAGTGTTTATGTATGGGTGTTTGCTTCTGTTTCCAACAGGTATTAGATGAGGGCTCCATAGATAAGTTAGTTGTTTATCTCACTATCCGGGAAGGGCATTTATGGTAGCCTTTCCACAGATGCTCAAATTGTTAGTTGGTGGCAGTCTTGTAGGTCTCTAGACCTTTCTTTGGGTTCAATTTTCTCTTCAAACCAATATTGGCTCCCTCTTTTATGTTCTCTCTCTCTCTCTCTCTCTCTCTCTCTCTGTGTGTGTGTGTGTGTGTGTGTGTGTGTCCTGTCTTCTATTCCTACCCAGACTCAATCTTCCTAGTCGCACGTGTTTTCCTTTCCTCCCCCTCTCTTTCTCCTATTTCTCTCTCCATTCACTGCCCCCCCACTCCCCTTGTGCTCTGGGGGACTTATCCCTTCCCACTTCTGTGAGGGACTTTATATGAATCTCTTAGAATATACACCTTGTATCCTATTTCCTCTGGTGGTGTGAATTATAGGCTGGTGATCCTTTGCTCTAGGTTTAAAATCCATATATGAGTGAGTACATACTATGTTCCTCTTTTGTGGCTGGGTTACCTCATTCAGGATGGTTTCTTCAAGTGCCATCCACTTGCCTGCGAATTTCAAGATACCATTATTTTTTTCTGCAGAGTAGTATTCCATTGTGTAGATGTGCCACATCTTCATTATCCATTCTTCAATTGAGGGGCGTCTAGGATAGAAGAAGTTAATATATTAATAAAAAAAACTGATACAAAAGCAGAAAGGAGACTTGGAAGGAGGAGTGCAGGAGTTGGGGAGATGGCAATGTACAAATGTACACGGGGGGGGGGGGTGGAAGAGGGAAGGCACAAAGCAAATGAGTGTGGAAACATCACATTGGAACCAGTTGCTATGCATGTTAAAACCAAACAACCTTAAAGTACAATGTGCAAAGAGAACTGCCCTTTATCGGTCTCCCTTCTCTGCCAGGAAGACATCTTGGCATGTTAGCAAAGTGCAATGTGCACGGCTGTGGATGCTAATCCTGAATTCTACATTATGCTGTTATTCCCCCTTTACTCCAATAAGCTCCAGCCCCTCCAGGTCGAATACAGAACCTAGAGGAGACTGGTTGCAAACATAATGGATATCTTAGTCTTGTACCACTATTAAATTACCTCCTGAGGAACTAGATTTGTGTGCTATGGCCACAAAGGTTCAAACCAAGACTGGTAGGCAGAAGCTAAGGAAGGTTAGTGAAATGTTAGAACTACATGAACAGAGTGTTCACAGTTTCCCATTGTAGGTGGTCATGGCCACCACAGATGATTATGAAAGGATCCAAGCCTCCATTTTCAATTGCTGATAAGTAGTCTATGTAGGTAAAAAAAAAAAATCACAACACTAATAAAAAAAATTGTAACAATAATGAGCCCAAAGAATAATTCCAAAATATTTGAAAACAACTGGACTATATAGATATTTCTAGAATAGTACCTATGAATATTGGCTGGCATAAATAAGGTTTATTTGTCTCTGTCAGGACAGGACCTAGGTTCTTTGACAATGTTGTGGTTCTGTAAATACATGAAATATCAGGTTCATTTGGCAATGGTAGTTGTTCTACAAACTTTTGTGTGTTTACATTATCTTAAAAGCGATTGTTCTTGAGTGACCACCCATAAAAATTGTGTGACTTTGGATACCTTAAGTGAAGATGCTTACCCTTAGTTTTTCTTTCCTTAGCAGTCCCCATTCAACACTAGTGTGTGTGTATGTGTGTGTATTTCTCATACTGGTTAATGAATAAAGCACTGTTGGCCAATAGGAAAGGAAGATAGGAGGGATTAGAAGACAAGGAGGAAAGAGGAAGGAGTAAGGAGGAGTCAGATGGAGAGACCAGGTAGACCAGACACCTGCCCCACTCCCCGGTAAGGTGAAACCACATGGAAATATTAGATTAACAGAAATGGGTTAATAATTAAGACAGAGCTAGCCAATAAGAAACAAGTAACTGGCCAACAGCATTATATCAAATACAGAGTCTCCGTGTGTTATTTGGGGCTGGCATGGCGGTGGGACAAGACTGGCGGCAGGCAGAAAAACCTAACTCCTTACGTGTGTGTGTGTGTGTGTGTGTGTGTGTGTGTGTGTGTGTTCGCACCTTCATGCACTCACACATGCACGTATATGTGAACACATGCATACTGGCACCCTGCAGAAGCCAAAGAGCCAGAGGTTTTCTTTGAGGAGTTATTCTCTCTCTGTCCACCCTGTTGCCACAGAATCTCTGCTATTCCTGCTGCCAGGCTGTGCTCCAGGTTATCTGGCCCCTGGCTTTTGAGCCATTTGCCTGTCTCTTCCTTCCATCTCATCAAAGGAGTGCTGGAATGACAGATGCATGCTGGCACCTGTAGCTTTTACATGGTTCCCAGGGGTTGACCTCAGGTCCTCAGGCTTGTGTGGCTGGTGTTCTTACCAGTTGAGCCACATCCCTGACACTCTCTACTTTTAAGTGGTGTCCAGACATTTGAAGTTATAGACAAGTATTTCAAATAAAAATGTAAATGAGCCCAGGGAGCCTTTTATCCCAGCATTTGGAAGGCAGAGGCAGGTGGATCTCTGTGAGTTTGAGGCCAGCCTGGTCTACAAAGTGAGTTCCAGGATAGCCTTGAAAAATGTATGTGTGTGGAATGTAAATGGTCAGAAAGTTACACTGTGAGAAACATAAAGAGCATGGAAAAGAAAAACTCCCCTCATACCCAAATTTATGACAACATGCAAAACGTTATGTTCAAATGAAGCCCACCTTTTAAGAAACAAATGCTGACAGATTTTGTTTGTTATTCCATCTCAGGAACAAAAGCCATGATGAAATTTGTGGTGCTTGTCACTCTTGGGCTAACTTTGCTGCTAGGAGTCCAAGCCATGCCTTCAAGTCGCCTTTCTTGCTACAGAAAGATGCTAAAAGATCGCAACTGTCACAACCTTCCAGAGGGCAGAGCCGACCTGACATTGATCGACACAAACATCCAGCATCATTTCTGGGATGGGAAGGGATGTGAGATGATCTGCTACTGCAATTTCAGCGAATTGCTCTGTTGCCCAAAGTAAGGAAATGACATTTCAAAGTGTATTACTATATTTGCAGGAAAAAAAGCCTCTTAAAAAATAATCTTTTACTGTCTTATATTTTTCCAAATGATTAATTTATAAATAGTTATCTCCACCTTGTAGTACTGGTGTGGAGATAAATTGCCCAATGATTTCTCTACAAAAATCTTTAAACACGAACTTTGAAAATCTACACAAATGTATATAACACAGTATGGCTAACTTTAACATATTTTTAGTGTTATTCATATTTATTGGGTTGTTTCAATTATTTTGTTTTATCATGATTATAATTACAATCCAGAAACACATTGTTTCAGTTTTTTGAATGCTGTAGAAATGTAACATTCATTGAGGGTTTATTATATGCCAATGATGGCAATAAATCCTTCATAGGTATTAATAAATAAATTTCATCCACTCAATAGACTCACGGTTCAGTTACCATCTTCTTTTTTGTTGTTGTTTGTTTGCTTGCTTAGGCATGATCTCAACTATAGCTCAAGCTGGCTAAAACTTGTTGTTTAGACCAGGCTGACCTTGAGACCTTGAACACTCATTGCAATCCTCCTCCCTCAGCATCCTAAATTCAGGGTTCACAGCTTGAGGTAACAGGCCTGGCTTAGAGCAGCTTCAGATGGATTTGCTGAAACTAATTACTCTCTTAGGTAAACTCAAATCCCAGCTGTTTTCAGAACCATCCAAGTGTGCAGTGTTCTCGTTGAATAACTGTGGTAGGGTTGCACAGTTGAGAAGATTTGGAGTTGGGGACTAGCCTGGGCTATATAGGGAGACTGCCACAAACAAACAAACAAACAAACAAAACCCTAAATAAAAATGTGAAAAATAATACCTTAACCTGTTAAATTCTACATCCAGTTCTTACAGCAACAACAAAAATCAGTTAGTAATATAATTGAACCTCAGAGTTGACACTGTAACTAATTTGAAAAGCAATATTTCTTTTTTAGATTAAACCAGTTAATGAAGAGCATCAAGCAAGTAACTGGGGCAGGAAATGTCATTAAGGGCTATGGGAGGACCTTCCAGCCCCATAAATAAGTTAATTAGAAATTAAATATGTTTAAAACAATTTACATTTTGGAAAATTGGTGTATGATAAGTAAAAAAAATGGGAGATTAAGTCAAGTTTTAGCTCTTGATTTTAAGATTATTTTCCTTTGATTAAGGATTATTTGAAATATTATGATCTTGGACATTGAATACTGTTTCAAATTGCTTTCAACATCAGATATCATATTTCCATCCTTCTAAGCAACCTGGAAGGTAGAAAAGGCAAATATAAATCTCTTACCTAGAAAAGGCAGATGGAAGTGACAGGGATACCTCACATAAGTAGCTAATGTTACTGTGGAGACAGAAAGCTGATTCAGACCAAGCTTGTCCCCAAAGTGAGGTTTCCAAAGCAGTGCCTATTCAACACCTGCCTGACCTGGGACCCCAGTGTGGACCGGCTGAATTAGCTATGCAGGGCAGGCCCTGCCAGCAGAGTTCAACAAGCCTTCGGGTGGTTTCTCAAGCACAGTGCTATTCCAGAAGCACTGTATTGCACGATGCAAGAATGTGTGTGTGGGGGGGGGGGGGGGGATGGAGAGATGGTTCTGAGGTTAAGAGTGCTGGCTGCTCTTCCAGAGGTCCTGAGTTTGATTCCCAGCAACCACATAGTGGCTCACAACCATCTGTAATGAGATCTGGTGCCCTCTTCTGACATGCCAGCAGAACACTGTATACACAATACATAAATTAATCATAAAAAAAACTTTAAAAAGAGAATGTGTTAGTTAACCCCATGAAACACATTTCTATACTGTAAAAATTAAATGCCAATCAGTACTAAATTTTTTATTACTGGATTATTAAACCAATTTACTGCAGAGAGCTTATATTTATTTTCTGATATAACTTTGTCATTATGACTGTTAACACATTGAAACAGAAGTGTAAATATACTGAAGCCACTTCTTTCTTTTTTTTTCAGTAGCAATAGAATCACTTTGCAAAGTGTGTTTCTATTAAGTCAGGATTATACCACTCTGTACATACAATTTTATACCATTCCATGTATGTTTTCATGTTACCCTATACCAGCTTTTCTACCCAAAAAGCTAAGACTAGCTTTTAGAACACTTTATTTGCATAAAATTTAGGAAGCTGAGATATTCAGATTAAATATAAGAAAAATAAATTATATACAATAAGAATTTAATAAAATTGAAATATATTTTAAATAAATATAAATATTTTAAACTTTGTTTAACAGTTTCCTAAGAAAAGACTACTAACCTGTCTCTTACCCCAAACTTAAACTTTGTAACCCATGTCCACATCAAAGTGAACTCTTTTGTATAAGGTTTTGAAATTATCTATGTTTTCCTTTTATTTATAGACAAATAATAGCAAATAACATCAACAGTGAGTGGATGAAAAAAAAAAAAAAAAAAAAAAAAAAAAAAAACCAGAGTTTGGTCTTTTGTGGCTCCTGTAGGAAATCCTTCTATGATTCTTTTTGTATTTGATTTGCCTACAATGAATAGTCGTACCTTAAGCCTTGGGAAACACTATCCACTTTCAACCTAGAAAAGATTGATATATGCCTTAGTTTTCAGCTGAGTTAACTGTGTTCTTTCTTTCAGAGATGTCTTCTTTGGACCAAAGATCTCCTTTGTGATCCCCTGCAACAGTCACTGAGGATAGCCATGCATTCTGGAGAACTGGGGTGGTTCCCAGTTTCCCACCAACTGCATCTATATAGCTACAGTTACGATTTCCATCCAGTATATAAAAGCAAGTGCAAAGCCTCACTTGCTGGGGGAAACCTGGCTAACAAAGCAATAAAAGTTATTTCCACTCAGCTTCTCTCTGTGGACTTTGTTAGCTTTAAGTAAAATGTTGGGCTAGAGACTTTTATTTAGGAGGAGTTCACTGCATTCAGTAAGAGTCCTGTCCCCATACTCCTCCACTGCTGGTAGGAGTGCAAACTTGTACAGCCATTTTGGAGATCAGTATGAAGGTTCCTCAGGAAAATGGGAATTGGTTTACCACAGGACCCTGTAATCCCCCTCTTAGGCATATACCCAAATAATCCACATCCATGCAACAAGGACATCTGTTCAACTATGTTCATACACACATTATTTGTAATAGCAAGAACCTGGAAGCAACCTAGATGCCCCTCAACTGAAAAATGGATGGAGAAAGTATGGCACATTTACACAATGGAATACTACTCTGCCGGAAAAAAAACCATGGAATCTTGAAATTCTCAGGCAAATGGATGGAACTTGAAGAAACCATCCTGAATGAGGTAACCCAGTCACAAAAAGGAACATGGCATGTACTCTCTCATATATGGATTTTAGACTTAGAGCAAAGGATCACCAGCCTATAATTCACACTGCCAGAGAAACTAGGATACAAGGAGGAACCTAAGAGATATACAAGGTCCCTCACAGAAGGGGAAAGGAACAAGATCTCCTGAGCATATTGGGAGTGGGAGGGGCAGTGAGTGAAGCGAGAACTAGAAGAAAGAGAAGGGGGGGAGAGAATAGCATGTAGGAGTAGGAAAAATGAGTTAGGGGAGGAATAGATGAGAGAAAAAGAGAGAGAGAGAGTTACCATAAGAGAGAGAGCCATTATAGGTTTGAAGAGAAAGCTGGCTCTAGAGAAATGTTCAGAGATCTATAAGACTGACCCCAACTAACAATTTGGGCAACAGTGGAAAGGCTACCATAATGCCCTTCCCTGATAATGAGATTGATGACTAACTTATTCACCATCCTAGAGCCCTCATCTAGTAGCTGATGGAAACAGAAGCAGACACCCACAGCTAAACACTGAGTTGAACTGAAATCCAGATGCAGAGAGGGAGGAGTGATAAGAAAATGGGGACAAGACCAGGCTACCAAAACCCACAGAGACAGCTGACCTGAAAAAGGGGAGCACATGGACCCCCAGACTGATATCTGGGAAACCAGCATGGGACCAATTCAGACCCCCTAAACATGGGTCTCAGTTAGAAGGCCTGGGCAGTCTAAGGGACCTTTGACAGTGGAACCAGGATGTATCCCTGGTGCATAAAAGGACTTTGGGAGCACATTCCCCATAGAAGGATACTACCTTAGCCTAGAGGCAGGAGGGAAGGCCTAGTCCCTACTCCAAATGACTTGACAGATTTTGTTGATCTTTCCTAGAAGGCATCACCCTCTTTCCTAGAAGGCATCACCCTCTCTGTGTGTGGAGGAGGATGGTATGGGAGGGGGTGGGGGTCACGGGTGGGAGGGAGGGAGAGGGAACTAGGATCGATATGTAAAATAATAATAATAATAATAATAATAATAATAATAATAATAATAATGTATATTTACCAAAAAAAAAGAGTCTGTCCCCTAATGCTTAGATAGCCACAATCCTGATTCACAGAGAGAACCAGATAACAAAATGAGATTATTGGAAGGGAAGCTACACAATTTCCAGTAAAAAGGAAAAGGAGAACCCATCCTTAAGTATTACATGTGCCACATCTTTAAGTACATTTTAATTTTGCTATTTTTTTTAAAGAGAAACCCTTAAAATTAATGTTAGCTCCATTTTTTCTAAGTCAAGTTTAAGAAATACAACAAGCCAAAGCAGAATTTGAACACCATTCAAACACACAATTTTTTCATTAACACCATGATGTATTTCATGAAGGTTTTTTTTATTTTGTTTTGTTTTGTTTTGATGAAAAAGTGCACTTTAAAAGACACAGAGAGATCTGACATGTGACTTGGTTGATAGATACCTGACAGCATGCAGAGCCTGGGTTCAAGACCCAGTTCTACATAAACTGTATATTGTTGTTTTTCATTAAATTCAGGGTCTGACCTTTAAGAAACCACTGTCCTAATCGGCAACTGAAGCTCCACAGCTACCAGAAGCCCCCAACCCCATCACACTAGCGGCAGCCTGGCTGGATTCTATTCCCTCAGGCATCAGCTAAAGGGTGCCTTTATCTAGATCTCTATCCCTCTAAAACTCAGAATTCAAAGTTTGAGGTGAAAATTCTGCTCGCTCAGAGAGGCTGAGTAGCAAGTAGCTGACCTTATCTCCTAGCTTAGGACACCAGGAAAAAAGGAGGGTCCCCTGCTCAACCCCCATTTATGAATCCTAGCAACACATGGTTCCTCCCTACCACTTTCTGCCCGCTAGTTGCTGACTCAACCTCCTGACCTAGGTTAATTTATTTAAGCAAACACATGTAACATGTCTTTGCATCATTAAACAAATATTCCACAGCATAAACGAAGGTAACACATCTTAAATTAATATCCTACAACAGGATATAATGGTACATGCCTTCAGTCCCAGCACTGGGAAGGGGGAGGTAGAAGGATTACAAGTTTAAGGACATTCTCAGCTATGTAATTTTGAGTCTGGCCTGGGCTACATGAGCCCTTATTTAAAGAAAGAAAGAGAGGGGGGAGGGAGGGAGGGAGGGAGGGAGGGAGGGAGGGAGGGAAGAAAGAAACAAAAAGACATTTTCTGATTATGAGGAGATAACTTTGGGTTTTAGCCTAATATTTTAAAGTGTTAAGTGTTGACTCATAGTAACCAAAAAAAGTTAATTTCAGAAACTTCCATTATATAAAAGCATACTACATGCTGGCTAGGTGCTAGCCATTATTAAGATTCCTGGGCTATTAGTAATGAATAAGATAGACACGTCTTTTCTCAACATGTTTTCTAACAAAGCTGTCATCTTGAAAAAGTTATTCATAAGTATGAAGTCTGCTATAGGGAAACAGGATAAAGTCAAAGGACTATGGGGCAAAGTTTGAGACACAGCATATCTTTTTCTTTTTAATTTTTTTTCCTTATTTTACATATCGATTCCAGTTCCCTCTCCCTCTCTCCCTCCTATGCTCCCAACTCCACCCTCCCATCCCCCTCTCCTCCTCCCACTCCACAGGGAGGGTGATGCTTTCCAGGAGGGATCAACAAAATCTGTCAAGTCATTTGGAGTAGGGACTAGGGCCTCCCTCCTGCCTCTAGGTTAAGGGAGTATCCCTCCATGGGATGTATGCTCCCAAAGTCCTTTCATGCACCAGGTATACATCCTGGTTCCACTGTCAGAAGTCCCTTAGACTACCCAGGCCTTCTAACAGAGACCCATGTTCAGGGGGAGACACAGCATATCTTGAAGGCAGCTTAGGAGATACCATCTTGTTACAAACAGTAAACACTGTTCATTGACTACAACCTTAAGATTCTGTTTCTGAAGACCCATCCAGAGTAACTGGCATCTATTCAACACTAGTGTTACCAGATTGAGTCAATCAACTTTGGGGTAATCTCAATTCTGTTCATCTTAAAGAGTCTTTACATATACCTATAAATATCATTCCATCATTAAAATGCATGATGAGGGCTGGAGAGATGGCTCAGAGGTTAAGAACATTAGCTGCTCTTCCAGAGGACCTGAATTCAATTCCAAGCAACCACATGACTCACAACCATCTATAATGAGATCTGGTAACACTATACGTAGTGAATAAATAAATCTTTTTAAAAAATGCATGATGAAGTTCAATTGTTTTAAAAAAAAAAATGAATCAGTTTTCTAAATAGCATGTGATTTAACTGGCCTTTCTTCAATGAAGGGACTAGCAAAAAAAAAAACAGACACAACAAGATTTACTTCTTTTCAGGACTCATACATCAGACAGATAAATAAAGAAAATCATCAGTAATTGTCTCTATAGCATGAATTCTAATTGCTATTAATAATAAAAATTCTAGAGTCAGGTATTAGGTTAATGCTGAAGATCAGAGAAGCAAAGCAGCGAGACACTAGAGAGTTCTCACTTCTACCAATGTCCTCAGACTGCTTAGACTGCACTGCTCCTCAGACTGCCTTCTGCCTAGACTGTTTAGACTGTACTGTTCCTCAGACTGTAGTGAGCTCCTGTCTCCTCTCGCCTCATGTACTTCTCTCCATCCAACCATATCACTCCTGTCTTTACCTCCCTAGAGCTGGGATTAAAGGCGTGTGATCCCAAGTGCTGGGATCACCTTTGTGTGAGCCCTGCTTCGCTTTTAGATTGGATCAATTTTGTGTAGCTCAGGGTTGTTTTGAACTCACAGAGATCCATCTACCTCTCTGCTAGGGTTACACATATGTACCACCACTGCCTGGCCTCTATGGTTAACTAGTGTGTGTGGCTAGCTTTGCACTTTGATCTTCAGGCAAGCTGTATTTGTTAGATCATAAACAAAATATCACCACATGTTTCCTTTTTCTGTTTTTCTGACAGGTAGGCATTAATAGTCCATTGTCTATAGAAGTGACACATCAGAATGAGAGCAGATATGAAGCAACAAGTCCTTTAAATAAGTAGTTCCTTATATTGATCAAAATCTGATGAAAAAATACCATTTGAGTAAACTGGAAGAGGGGGTGACCCACCGCAGTCATCTTAGCCCTCAGGAGGTAGAAGCAGGAGAACTGGAAGTTCAAGGTCATCCTCAGCTGTACTACTCTATCTCAAAACAAAACAAACAGGGGGAAAAAACGGGGGGTCTGGAGAGATTGCTTAGCAGTTAAAAGAACTTGCTGTTTTTTCAGAGGACCTGGGTTTGAGTCCTAGCATCCATAAAATGGCTCATAGCCATCTACACATCACCTCCAGGTAATCTGATACCCTATTCTTGCCTCCTGGGGAACTGGGCTTGTAAGTGTTGCATAAACATATACACATGTAAATACTTTTTAAACATATCTCTCTCTCTCCCTCCCTCTCTTTCTCTCTCTGTTTTTTGTTTTTTTTGTTTTTTTTTTTTTTTTTTGAGACAGTATTTCTCTGTGTAACAGCC